GAAAAGAGAAAACAGTTGCACTGGAAGGTTCAGTCTTGTGGTAAGATATATTCTGAGGGCATATTCTCTGATATGTCTGTGAGTTACTTTAGACCTCTGCCAAGACTTTTAACCACTGTTGTAGAATTAAAAGTGGATAATTTTGTACATTTTTCTAAAATATTTCTTCTTTTAACATAAGAATAAAAAATGAAAATAGAGATATTTTAATATTAGTCCTTCTGACTCCCCTACAAGTCATGTATATTATAAAGATATATGGAATGTAATGGTAATATTTCTATAGTTGGATTTTAATACTTGACATTGAATGAGTTGTTGAATGATTGTGATGTTTAGAATGTTTTTATATTCTCTATAAAATGTTGAGGGCAGTAACATATCTCTAGATCCAGTAAATACTACTTCACAGTTTGCGGTTGACAACGCTCACCCTTGACTCCTGGAACAACACTTTCTTTCCTTCCTGCTTCACAGCCTGCTACTTTTTAGATCCTCTTATGACTTGACCTTCCAACCACCCTCCACATTTGGGGTTCCTCCAGACTTGGCCTTCAGTATTCTTCTCTTCACTTTCTGTAATTTTTTCTTGAATTTCACAAAACTCATCAAACTACTACTGATGCCTCCCAAATTTATTTCAGTAGTCCAGACTTTTCCTCAGTGATTTGCATTTGTTTCTGCCCACTTGGGATCTGTACTTAGATATCAGTGGTTAAAATGGAACCTTTAATTTCTTATCTCACTCCACACATGGGACCCATTGTACTCAGGAAATGTCACCATCATCTATTGTGTTACTCAGGTTAGAAACTCAATTGCCAGCTATGAGTATTCTCTTTCTTTTATTGCCCCCACAGTCAGCCCATCAGCAAGTTCTAGCAAGATCTGCAAACTTTGTGTCCAGTGCACCCACTGTCTCCGTTTCCATAACAACCCTGCAGTTTAGGTCACAGAAATATCACAACCAGTCAAATGCAGCAGTCCTTCCTAACTTGTAGCCTGCCTTCCACATTTGCCTCTCTCCACTCCAGTTTCCCCAAAGCAGTCCAGATGAGTCTTTTAAGATCATGTTATTCCTCTGCCTAATACCTTTCAGTGGGTTTCCACTGTGCTTTGGATGAGATCTAGTCTTGATATCATGACCAAGAAGGGCCTACACATATCTGGTCCCAGCTGGTCTCTTCAAACTCATCTCCTTTCACTCTGCCCCTTTGACCATTAAGTTTCAGCTACTCCAATATGCCTTTATTTTCCTATGCATGCTAAGCTTTTATAAAACCCAAAGCGTTTACATGTGTCATTTCTTCTGTCTAGAATGCTTTGTTTTTCTTGGTTGTTTACATGACTGGTTTTTCTTTTAATTGAGGTTTTGCATTAAACGGTGTTTCTCTAGAGGTCTTCCTTGATGACCATATCTGCTGTCGTCTCCAATTTGTTCTCTATTTCATCTCTTATTTATTTCCTTCATAGCAGTGTCCGAAGGCATAATTACTTTATAAAATTATTAAATTGCCTTAAGTCTGCTTTTCTGACATTGTATTTCTTTGCTAGTGAAAGTTAGTTTTAATGGGCAGACCTCTGTCTGCCATAATTGCTATTGTATAGCTAGTACCATAACACTGAGCCCAATACATAGTATTCAATACACTGGATATTTATTAAATACATTAATAAACAAGTAAACAACATTGAGGGTAGAGATTATGAAGAGAGTAGAAGAAAACATTTCTTCCTCAACTTTAGCACTGAAATGTATGCTAGGATGAAAGAAAACCAAAAATAAAATCATTTTTAGGTATTAAGACCCCTGATAGTAAAAAGCAATTATGTAATAGAAATTTTTGTCTGTGGAAGTTACCAAAGAAGAAAGTTGTGTGGACTTCCTATGGAATTGCAAAATTTTTCTGCTACAATGACTTCTTAGTAGCATGTGTTTTCTATAAGTTTGAAATATGTCATAGGTTTCACTTACATTATGCTTTATTATTCTCATCTTCCATGAGCACATTTAATTGACATTAGAACCTATCCTGTGATTAGGATAGTCACTGTTAAATGAGACACAACAAGGCAGTTCATTCATCAAGCATTTATTATCCTCTGCTGGGTGGACATGGCTCTTTTTCTCAAGGAACCTCACAGACAAGTAGGGCTGACAGTCTGATAAGGAAATCCTTATTGTCCTCTGTGGCAGCATTGATAAGAGGCACATGTTAGAATCAAAGGAGGGAATTTTAAGACTTTGGTGGGGCATGGACTACTATATCCTAAAGGAAGTGAGTGGAGTTTGGTCTTGAAGGAATACAAATTTTCAAGATGCAGACTTTCCAAGCCATAGAACAGAGAGCACAAAGACCCAGAAGCGTGGCTAGGGTAGTATGTTCTGGAATATGTAACTATTAGGAAATATAAGGAGAGTAATAGGCAGTGAGGTTAGAGAGATAGGCAAAACCATATTGCAGAACACCTGGTATGCTGTGGGTGTAGATAAGACTTTACCCATCCTCGGCAGTGGGGGCCGGGGGCATTGAATGATGTTAACCTTGACAGTAATTTTAAGTAATATGTAACTTAAAATTTAAGAACATGATTAGAGATCGGAGGATGGTCTCCAGTAGGAGGGATCTGGCAATGAGAGAGTAAAGGATGAGATCACCCAGGAAGGTACAAATTGAGAGAAGAGTCAGAGATGCACCCCAGGAGAGTGAGCACACTTAGAATGGGGAAAAAGACACTGAGATCCTGGAGGGTGGCAGTAGATTAAAAAAAAAAAAAGCAACATGTCACAGAAGCCAAGGAAACAGATGTCCCTTTTTAGGAAGGCAAGAGGGACAAGTCAAGTAAGGTAAAAATTAAAATGGGAAGATTGAATTTCATAATTAAGGTACCCATAATGACAAATAGCAAGAGTGGTGATGGTGAGCTGATGGGGGCAAGATCTGCCTGAGGGGTGTTTGGGGATGGAGAAGTGAGAAAACAAACACAACCCAGGGCAGACGTGGAACTAGCCCTGGTTCTCTTTGTTTTTGTTGTTTAGTTTTTAGTACAGGCTAAGTATTTGACTTTGTATGGTCTGCTGAGGTCCAGGAACTAGGCTATTAGTGCCAGAGAACTGGATTTTGCTGTAACATTGCTTTAGACACATGAAGCAAAAAGAGAAGGGAAATAAGGAGGAAAGCATACAGATGTAGGTAAGTTTGTGGCTGAAGTATGAACTAGAGGGTATTTCCTCTGATATTGGGGGGGAAAGTATGTGCTGAGGAAGAGGTGGACAAAGGCGGCCATGGAGGAGACAGATGTTATGGGGATGAGGGAATGATCACAGGGTGACACTGAGGTTCATCTGAGCTTGTTGGCACAGGTGAATGGTGGCCCCAGACCATCTGCAGCATCCTGGACATCAGATTCCAGATTGGGAGTACCTAGGCAGGCCCATTAGAAGATAAAGGGAGAGGCGGCTGAGAATGGTAGTGGGATTACGGTTGAAGCAATGTGACTCAGGAGAGAACCTGCCTAGTGAGGGAAGTGAACGGAGGGGTAATGAAAAGGGACCTGAAGAAATAGAGTGAGGATAGCGGAGCAGGGGCGTTTGGAAGGATATAAGGAGGACCAGTCCTGGAAGGCAGGAGGCTGCTGGTAAGCAGTATATCAAAATAGCACATCTAGGCTGGCATTTCTTTACCAGTTACCTGGGAAGGTACTTACCCTGAGTTTATACTGCTATTGTCCAGGATAGTATGGGGACTGCCTCTCTTGGAACTGTGCTCAGAATCTGCCACACAGCTTTTGACTATTCAGAGCCTTGGTGATTCTTAGCCCTTTTGGAGGTGGATTTGATTTTTGCAAACTGCTAAGTCATTCAGAGCCAAATGTGGTGAAAAAAGTAGACAATCAAGCTAGTCATACCATTTTTGGTAGGAATAGAAATGTGAATTTAAGGAACAGTACTTTTTTATGTGGCTTGTAACAGGCGATGATAGTAATTTCTAAAGAGAGCAATGACAGCATTGTTGGAATGTCTATGGCTTCTCAAAACAAAGGTCTTCCTAGTACATGAAACTCTGAGTGTTGCAGTATGGTTGGTACCCCTGACTTCCTGGCCCTAAAAGCCAGTAGCCTCCACAAGTCCCTGTGGCAGTCAGAATAGCCACAACATATTTCTAAATACCTCTGGCTGTCTTTGGACTGCCAGGGCCTGGTAGATTTGTTTACAGAAAGCCAGGGAAGTGGGGTAGAGACTCTTTTCTGTCTCTTCCACTCTTTATTTTTGCTGTCTCTTCCTTTTTTTTTAAGTTTTTTTAAAAAATGTGTTTGGTTTTTTTGATTGTGGTATGAGAAATGACAGAAAAAGGAATCTTTGTTAAAGAAAGTTTGAACACAAATTAATAATTCAAGGGAAGACTATGGGAGAATAAAAGAAAAGAGAAGGAAAATAGAGTAGTCGTGGGGAAGCTGGAAGAAATATATCTGCCACATTTGTCTGTGGTCTCTTGCGATTTTCTCTGAAGCCAAGAATAAGATTTCCTGTAAGAACGCTCATGTGTTGTTGCATTATAGGGTATAACTGATTGCAGAGGCACCCTAAATAGATTTCACTGAGAATATAGTTAGAATTGTGTAAGGGTTTAAATCCAGACTCAAAGAGGAAAACAACTTGTTATAAGGCAAGTCCATCTTGACTTTATCTGAGGGGGGTTTCATTACTGATAATCCAAACCCCTGTTTTAAAATGATGTTACTTACATGATTGTCCAAGAACTTCAAAATAATTTTAGCTCCTGAGTAGCAAGTTTTTAATTTTAATTTTTACAAAATGAAGTTCTCCTTTTGTACCAATATCCTATACTAAAAATAGTGTACCTGGCTAGCATTTAAAAGTTAGAAGTGTTAGCTTGCCATGATTGCTAAGTCATCTGTTATGTATTTTAAAAATCTGCACTATCACTTGTGGACCATTCATGCCATACTGAAGCTGATTTTCTACTTTATTTTTTCAGTTGTTCATGGTGGACAATGGAGCAGATGACTGGAGAATAGCCATGACTTATGAGCGTATTTTCTTCATCTGCTTGGAAATACTGGTGTGTGCTATTCATCCCATACCTGGGAATTATACGTTCACATGGACGGCCCGGCTTGCCTTCTCCTATGCCCCATCCACAACCACCGCTGATGTGGATATTATTTTATCTATACCAATGTTCTTAAGACTCTATCTGATTGCCAGAGTCATGCTTTTACATAGCAAACTTTTCACTGATGCCTCCTCTAGAAGCATTGGAGCACTTAATAAGATAAACTTCAATACGCGTTTTGTTATGAAGACTTTAATGACTATATGCCCGGGAACTGTACTCTTGGTTTTTAGTATCTCATTATGGATAATTGCCGCATGGACTGTCCGAGCTTGTGAAAGGTAAGTTTGTTTCTTTTCCTGAGAACGTAATTTGCCATATGGTGTCTTCAAAAGTGTGAGAAAGAAAAAATTTTAGACTTGAGACACATAGCGTCTCGTTGCTGAAAATTTTGGATTCCCTGACAGGCTTTCTTTTAAATGACTGACAAAGCTTTATTGAAAATTTTGGCATAGAACAAATGCATTCATGATTGTGTGTATTTTTTACTTTTAATTTGGTCAGTTTTCAATGGAGGCTGCCTTTATAGTATGTGTCAAAATTTGGAGATCTACAAATTGTACTGAGACTTCTACTGGAAATGTGAGTTTAATGATAATACCGAGTCATTTCTGCACCTGATTGGTCATAAACATTGTTTATTTTTGGGATAGAAATTCTGTGAAAAAGTGCTGATACAAGATGTCTGAACTTTAGGAAATATCTTAAAAGTGGTTGGTTGATTTTAGTGCCTGTTTATAATAGTGTTCACATGATTACCTGATAAGTTACTTATGTGTATGCATATTAGTTTGTATTTAACTTTTAACTATTAGCAAAACGAGGCAGTATGTATTTGTTTTATTGTCTGAAGTGCTCTGGTAGTCTAGACTGAGGCACACATGCTTAGGTTTCAGGAGCAGGTTGGTGGTCTTAATCGATTATAGCATTAATAAGATTGACTTTGCCATTTAACATACAAAAATAGATTTCTGATATAAACAGGAAGAACTGTATCAGAATGGGGTGCAGAGTACTCTCACATGACCTTGGTTAAGAAAATTCAAGTTGAAATTAGCAATAGAGAGTGAAGAATGATTTAGAAGTTTCTAAGACTGTTGAAAGTTCAGGTGTTAGTCTTTGTAGAAATTGTGTGGTTTTTTTTTTATTTAGCTTTTGAGAGTCAAGGTTACACACTCAAAGAGCTTAAAGGAAAAACAATTCTGTATGAGATGTGCTGCAAAAATAAAAATCAAAAGAAGAACCCACAACACTCTTCACCCCATTTCTGCTTTCCAGAGGCAATAACTTTAAATCTTTTTAGCCATTCCCTTAGTTATTGTCTTCTATATTTCCAAATAAAATTTGCTTATATTACATATACATATTTTGGGTTTAGAGTTATCTGTTGATTTCCTACTTTGCAAGTTTGGGTTTTTGTTTTCTTACCCTGACAGAAAAATACCCCTTTCATAATTCCACCCTTACCAAAAGTGATTCCCATCTTCCCACCTCCCAGTAAGTTATATAAACTTCAATAATATATATTCTGTGTTTACATTGTTATGATTTTGTAAACTGAAATTGTAACTTAACAATATAGTATGTTATAATCATTTTCCCTTTCCTGTACATCTTTTTATTTTCTCTGGAAGAAATAATTACCTCATCTTTTATTTGCTTAGTTTTCTGTTTACTACCAAGAATTCATCTATAAATTCTTCCACATTATATAAATATCCTCTTACTCTATTCATGTATATTAAGCAATCTTTCTATTTCACCTTGAAGAAATGACTCTTGGAACATTTCTGACCTGCTTATCTATCATGTTGAGGATTTTCTTAGGCTTTTTTATTTGTTGAGTAGCCTCTTCATTGAGCCCCGTTTCTCCTCTTCGTTTATTCTCTTGTTTTGTCAGAATCTATCTTCCAGTCGTTTTGAAGAAAGGCATTGTGTGAGAGATTTTTCTGAGATCTTACAGATATGGGAGGCTTTAGTCTTCGCACATGTTTAATTAGTGATCTGGCCGGATATGAAACTCAAGATTAAGTCACTTTCTTTCAGAACATTGAAGGCTTCATTTTCTTCTGGCATCCAAAGTTCAGCAGTCTGATGCCATTAATTTTTTATTTATTAATTTTTAGGGGGCTTTTAGAATTGCTATTCTAAAACTGCACAAAGACATGTCTTTGTGAATCTATTTTAATCGATGGTACTGGGAATTTAGTGTGCCCATTCAGTCTTGGAATTCATGTCCTTCAGTTCTTGAAGATTTTTAAAAAGTTTAAAAAAAATTATTTAATGAGTTTTGTTCCTGTTTTTGTTATATGGATAATGGTTCTCCTGTATTCATTCTCTAATTTTCTTATTCTTCATCTCTATTGTTTTCCATTTCTGTTTTTGCTTTGTAAATGGAAGATAACCTCCATTTTAACTTTCAAAATTTCTATGGGGATTTTATTTTTTCTATACTATATATTAATTTCCAGTGTCTAACTTTTGAGCCCTGAATGCTTATTTTTAAAATAGCATTATTTTTTTACACATATATATTTACACACATATCTATATATAATATCATGTTTCTGAACCTTTTTTTAAGAACTTGTCTATATAAATATGGCATTTGATGGATTAACGTTTTCTTTTTAAAGAATGGTAAACTCCTTATGGTAGTGCTTTGTTTCCTAGCAATCATGATATGTGTGTGTATATGTGTGTGCATACATATACACACACATACACACATACACACACACACCATTTTCTCTCTTTGGAAATGTTTGTTAATGATACTTTTTGAAAAATTTTCTCTTTGTATTTCTTTGTGTTTCCCTATGCGTGGTTTTTGTTTTGTTTTTTTGGCTTCCGTTTTGGAAGCTTTTCTTAACCATTTAGGTGTCCTTGATTCTTGGCTTCCTGTACATCCTTCAGAGAGACTAGAATGAGCTGGCTGGAAGCTTTCTGTACATATCTGGAACATGTCAACTGCAGGCTTCACTAAAAAGAGTAGCTTTAGTGGGGGGCATGGAATACCAATTTCAGTACCTTTACATGTTTTCTATCTTATTTTTAAAAAATTTTTTAACTTTAGATTTGTTGGATACAGGTCAGGGTTAGGTATACAAATGTGCATTATGCAGGAACCCTTGCTGATGAGGTGTGTCCCCCACCCCTTGTTTTCTATCTTCTCTGGCAGTCTGACTAGCCCTTGGGAAGTTTTTTCTACTGTCCTGCCATGGAGGCAGAAGCCTGGGTAGTAACTTTCTGGAAATTGAAAGACAGGATAATGAAGAGGCCTCCACAGTTAATATGCAAGCATTTGCTTATTTTCCTGGTTCCACTGTAGGAGTCTGTTCTCCAGTGTTGGATGCCCTGTGGTCATTCCACAGACCTTATGTTTTACCCTCTGCAGACAACTTTTCCAATTTCTGCCAGGATAACAAGGAATTTAACATTCATACAGAGCAAAAGAGGGAATCTGTATGTCTAACTCCTTCTATGCTGTCTTTGAACCTGCCCTCCCATTCAAAATACCATCATTATCCCCACCTGCAGAGGTACTGATGCTAACAGTGCCTGACTCATGGGTAAGGGGGTTGGTTCTCAGTACATATGTGGTTGCCTCTTGATTTTTCACCACTGCTACTGTAGAATTCTACTTTCTTGAGTCAGGTAAGTCAGTGACCACCTGTCAGTTGTCTTTCTAGCTTCCTTTGCTACTATCTTGTTATCCTTATGGGTTTATGCTTTTTTTGGTCATTGTTTCCTTTTTTAAAGATTATTTATTGTCATTTGAAGGGCATTAAGGGAAGGAACTGAGGCCAGCATGTTTTTTGAGTCCACCTGCTTTTACCAGAAATTCTATAGTGACTAGTTTTTAATATCATGCTTCTGAACCTTTTTAAAAGAACTTCTCTACATAAATATGGCATTTGCGGGATTAACGTTTTCTTTTTAAAGAAAGGTAGACTCCTTATGGTAATGCTTTGTTTCCTAGCAATCATGATATTTAGAGGCTTATGATATTTTCTGGAGCAGATGTACCTATAAAGTTTGAAGAATAAATATGGAAAACCTTAGTTGACATGCTATTTAGTTTACAAAGATTAGCCTTAATTAAAAATTATGCATAACAGTGTAACAATGAGGGTAGAAGCCTCATTTAATTATATATACATCTCGATGGGGGATCTCTAGTACGTCTGCTTCCCATGGACCAGTTAAGATAGCCTCAAAATTGTGAACATGCCATACATTGTCTTTAAAAAATGGTTTATCTTAGCTGTTTTAACCCATTGTCACTAAATACAGAAAGCCAAAGGCAAGCTTGTGCCAGATTTTCTTAGCAACTCAAAGTCTGTGTGTTTTTAACATGCTTGAATTGTCAGATGATGATCATTCCTGTTTTCATATAAGAAGGCAATAAAAGGTGAAAATTGTCCATTTATTTAATAACAAGGACAAGAGTCTATAGCCAACAATTACATAGAGGGAACAAATCCATGGTGTGATGGGAAGGACAGAGGTCAAAATTTAGATTGGGATGCAGGGACTTAGTCCTAGTTGTGAAATTTAGGGGCTTAGTGACCTCAGGCCAACCACCTCACTTCTTTTTGCCTTTGTTTCTTTATTTGCAAACTAAATGGCTTGATAAGCTTTCCTATTCCAAAGGTGACATTTTACAATTATACAACTGTTTAAAAGAAAAAAAGATTAGCAAGCATTAAGATAACAGAAGCTTTTCAAGTTTTTAAAAAAAATTAAACTTACCATTTTGTTGCACAAGATCTGAAGATTGTGATTGTGTAGATAGAAAGATGAAAACTAATTTTGTTTTTCCACAGGGTTGCAGTTTTGAACATGATGTCACCAGCATCTTACACTTCCTTGGATGTTTATTCTCTGATCTTTCTTTTTTTCTTTTGTTTTATGAACTTTGCAATATTTAATGCAGCATACAACTTTTCTATTTATTTGGTTTAAGAGTTGAATTTGAATGAACCCTACCAGTTCCATCTTTGGTCCATCTGAGCATCCTCTCCATGATGTGAAATGAGAGATTCACATCTGATAGAAATTCACTTTTTATTTGATTAGAAGATGTCTAAGAGAAGACTTATAATTTTTTCAAAGGAGAAGAGAGCTTGAGAGAGAAAGGTAGACAGCTTTCTGGAGAAGTTTGCCTTGCAAACCTATCCCTGTCCTTCCACTGAGCACAGGATTTCTAGAGGTTTTTAGAAATTATTCTCTACTAATGAGGAGGGCATCCTATAAGAGGCACCAATTATTCTTTATG